GGGACAAATTGAAAAATGTGGCAGAAGAAAGACGGAAGAGAACTGGGGTTAAAGTGTATATAAAGATCATCGCGATATTATATGCAATTATAAGACCGACTAAATATTACATGAATTAATAGTGCAAATATAAAAGTTTAATAATATTAATTGACAATAAAATAAATGTAATAAGTGCAGATAATATTACTCACTCGTTCGTGCATCTGGTGTTAAGCTTTGCAATTCGTGAAGTTCCAGAGCACATCTATAAAAAACAGATATCATTAAAGCAAAAACGTTGAATGACAACAACACATCGTTATTGACCCACAAAAAAAATTTTTTTTTTTTTGACATCTCATAAAAGACTTTTTAACGCGTTAAAACATTTGTCGCCTAAGCTAATAGCCATATTGTATTTGGTTAACATTTAAACCGGTTCGCTTGAGTAAAATAAGTTTTTCCGGAGCAAAAGTTAACCCACAGCGCTAGTTTAAGACTCAAATAATGATTTAAAATTGAAGGTAGAGGCGATAATTCATTGAAAATGAATAATAATAATAATAATAATAATAATAAATAATAATAATAATAATAATAATAATAAATAATAATAATAATAATCTTATTATTATTATTATTATTATTATTATTATTATTTAATCTCGATGCATGAATGCTTAATTTATCACAAGATCGAGTCTTTTTTTTTTAGCGAGTCAAAAACAATGAGTCAAAGAAGCCATATCAATGGCAAAAATAAAATAAAATAAAAATAGTAAAATAATCTTACAATTGAATACAGCTAATAATCGTACCCCAAATACCCATTTGACCAACAACCTCATGTAATGGCCTCTTTTTCACACAAAATTCTTCATACACATTTGATAAACCATAACAAGATGCACCGATAAGAGCAAATATATCACCTAAGAGTTGATTCGGAGCTGGTTCTCCAGTTACAGCTAAAAGTTCAAAAAGTCAATTTAAATATATAATAAAACCAAAACATTAGAATAAAATAGAACAGATAACCAACTTGTATGAATGTCTCCGCCACTAGTTAAATCACCCGCGATCACTATTCCAAGGCCGACGAGACAAACAAACATGCCAAAATATTGACTTATGTGGTATTTCGCTTTCAAAAATTTAAGTGATAGAGCTACAACCACAAAAAGTGCCCATTCGTCAAGTAATGTCATGGAAAAACTAGATGTGTAACGAAAACCTTTTACAGCAAAATAGTTTCCTTCTACATCCACAAGAGCAAGTAAAAGATCTGAAAACGGAATTGTGTAGTCCGAATTTAACAGGAACTCATAATGTCAATGTATCAATTTAAATATCAAGAAACTTACATTTCCACCCCTTTTTCCGTAACATCCTTCCATATCTCTTAATACCGTATTGATAAATTGTAATTGGTGTATAAATGATTGCTATCGTAATATATAAGAAAAGAGATTGTGTAGTAGGAATAGCAATCGTTAATACAGTATTGGTCACGATTGTAGAGGTAATACAAAATGAAAGAAATTGCCCAAGTAGAAGAACTAGAAGAAATTTCCATGTGAATATAAACGAAAGATCGATAAAGCCCCAACTGCATTTTTTTGGTGGCGAATCATCCTCATAAAGAGGATGTTC